CAGGCTGAGCAACACTTATTGGTGTGTTTATATTGAAAGTTTCGGAGTTTTTAGGATTTGAAAACTGCCTCCTGCCGAGATGTTCCCGGTCGAGGAGAGGAAGAGAGAAGGAGACAAGCGCAGCACGAAGAGGGTGAATAGAGGGATACAACGTACAATTTCCGGCAGATCTGGTCTTTGTTGACTGATATCTTTGTCTGGTCATGACTGACTTTGATTTTGAAGCAAGAAATTCACTCATCCAGCCGGAAAGATTGACACTGCTGCAGCAACAAACCCAAACTTTGGGTTTGAAGATTGTTTCACTGTTTGGGACTCGGTGGATGCAGAAATGATGGTAAAAACACTGCTAATGTGAAAGACGTAGCGGCAATGTAAAAAATAGCTGTAAGAAAGAGGCAGATGTGTTCATTATGTATGGAAGTGGCTCCACATAATCATGAAAATATTCTTTCCCTTGGATCAACTGATCATTGTATTCAAGGGAATCTGTACAAGCCCAAATAAACTTGACAAATTTTGCTAAAAAGCATTTCTCTTGAGTGAGGCCAATTTAAAAATAAATAAATAAAACGATAATACAAAAATAACAATTCTATTCAAATTTCAAAAGATATATATATATATATATATATATATATATATATATATATATATATTTATTTATTTATATATATATATATATATATATATATATATATATATATATATATATATATATATATATAAACATTCAAAATATAATGGAAATTTCTAAGTAACCAGAAAAAATTAGGAGGAACATCTGTAAAAATTATGCATACCAATGTGGCAACCTGGTGACGTCATACTATGCAAATTATATGAGTGAGTTTGCTTTCAACACAAACTTTGGGTCCTTGTAAAGATTTTTCTCATTTACAGTTAATTTTTATCTCTAACCATTTTAAAGCTACAACCGTTTGAAATAGTCATGTTGAAATTGAATATTTTCTTAAAAAGACTGGCTCCCAAAGGGTTAAAATTCATGGACTCACCCATCTTGACCCATAACAGGGAAGGCTGTTGTTGGTTTAGCATCCAGGAATCAGCAGAGGACGTCTCGACTGGTAGAAGCTAACTATTAGCATTAGCAACTCCGCCACACAGCAGAACTCCTCCAGGCTTGTGTTATTTGCAGAGATAAAACATTCACATTGTAAAGTAAATGGAGTCAATGGTAGAGACACATTTTTGTTAGCCAATCAAATGTGAGATGTCTAAATATCAGGAAATAAGACTCCAAATTCTGCCGTCTGAAGCTCTGCTCTGATCTGGCAATCTTCTAGTTCCTGAAACAGGCGCACCAGAGCTTTTCTGGACCCAGAGTACAACTTATAAGGCATTAATTCCTACTAGAGACCACTGCTAATGTATTTATTAAGCAAGTGAACCACACCTTTAAGCTTTATTCATGTAATTTATAAAGAATTTTGTAAACTTCTGCATGACTTTACAAATAAAAGAATATTTATATTTATCACCATTTTTTACTATTATAGTTTTTAAATGATTCACGGCCTGCTGGTGGAAGTGTCCAGATCCCAATCGTCCTTTTATCTCTACAAATTTTAAGTGTAATACAAATCTTACTTAAAATAGTAAACATGTCATCTGTTTTAGCCTCAGTGAGATATTTTTGCCTTCTATTCATCATCAAGAACATTTTTAACCAAGGCGGAGAAATCTGATGAAAGGTCTAGCTATCCTTTCATTTTTTCTTCATCTTCAGGATAGTGTCTACTAAAAATCACGACTTGTCCTCACAGTTTCCAGCCTTTAATACAGTCCAAAACACGGTGGGAGGTTTGTGGGTTCCAGTGTGACAGCTTCCGCATGAGAACGAGTTTGTGTGCTGTGGGTGAGCGCATACCTCTGTTTAAAGATTTAGACGATTTTGTCGGAGCGCGGTTGCGTGTGTGAATGTGTGTGAGAAAGTGAGAATATTCCTTTGAAGCTAAAGACAAAGGCATGCCCTGTGACACAGACAGAGGAGGTTAGACAAACAGACCGAGACATGACCGGAGTCCTGTTTACTGAGATTCAGCACAGCAGAGTTCACATCCTCACAGGGTCATATGCAGCCTGTAAAGAAATCAGAAAATAAACGTGAAGATCAGAGGCGATGACGAGTGAAATGGAGACGGATGAGTGAGTAAATAGCAAGACAGGGAGCAACAAAAAACGCCCTCACAGATGCATTAAGGGAACAAGGAAAACCCAGGACACCTGAACACACCAAACAGACATTAAAGAGCATCTTTAAGGTTTATTCATAAATAAAGTGGTTTGTTTGTGTATCAACTTCATCATCTTTGTTTTTTGTGTGTGTCTTTCAAGGGATGTGGAGCATCACTAGAAAGCTATGAGTCAGAGATTTGAACGCACCCTTCAGTCCTGGAGCGGTTCAGCCGGTCTTTACATCTCCGTCTGCAGGTTTCAATGGTCCTTTTGGGTCTTTGATTAGCATTAACATCCACTTCACTTTTCCAAGAGCCTCTCAAACATCTATGGCTCAACACGTTTTGATGGGCTAAATTAGCCTAATGGGTACAGAAGAAAGGGGGACTAGCAGTTGTTTTGCTTTTTATGGCACTAATCTCAGGTTATAAAGAATAAAAAGACATTTTTTGGGTAGGTATTGAAGCCTTGAAGTGCAGTTTTTAGTTAAGTTGCAGGATAGAATTTGTTGTAAACATAATCAGCATTGGTAAGAGTACTTTAACTCTGAGAGTCCTGATTACCTGTAACAAGCAAATGAGCTTAAGTACTCAGCAGAGCCACCTGTCTGGTGGATCTGTGCACGCTTCTTGCTACAATCCAAATGGAAATTGGCGTTTGAAATGTGCCACATGATGTGCCTTTGGTGCAAGACGGGATTCAAGTGCTTCATGTATTTATTTATTTGTACAAATGTCCAATTTTGTCATGAATTTGTAAAAAATGAACAAAACTAGCAAATACATTTTAACATAAACTGTAAAATTGCTCAAAAATTAACAAAGACGTAGACGTACGATAGTTTAAGCTAATACAAAACAAGTCATATAAAGGTCAACAACTCTAAAGTCACACCTATATATTTAATGTTCATGAAAATGTTGCAGAATAATCTATCCTAATCTGACAGATTTTAGTTCTTTAGCATGCATGACGGAATAGTGTTGGTCAGTGCTTTTAGTTCATGGAAGAGAAACAGTTTCACCAGAATGTGACTTTTTTTAGACACTGAATTAACATTGAATTTTATAAAAACCCTGTGCATGACAGCAGACGCTAGTTCCGGTTTAACTCCAGAGAGCCGTGGCATTTCCTGTCCCCTTCACAGTGATGTCAACATGGAAGGTGCATGCAGTGAACTATACTTTTCCAGATCCCTTGGGAATTAGCCGAAAATTTCAGTCGATGGCGTTCATCGTATTGTCGACAGTTTTTCATCTGCTCTACAAAGCAAACGAGAAAAGGGATTCAAATTGTACATGTCCCAGTATGTGCACCACACAGCTGTGCTAACTAGTGCAAACTTGACTAAAAAGGGCATAACAAACACGCTGTATTATTGTGAAATGGTAATTGTAATTCTTTTGCTATCTGGAACTTTTTTCTACTATGCAACACATTCATTTACTCACGCACAGAAATCTGGAGCTCGAGAAATATCCATCTACGATCGATATCCATAATGGGAGTTGTTTTGGCAGCAGTGCAGCCTCTAAATAAGGCATTATCTGCCACTAAAGTCCTTCATTTCGCCAACGATTTGGTATTAATCACTAGCACTATTCCTCTGTCAGTTCGAAGCGTCTCAGACATGCTTTGTTGTTGTTATCTGGGGTCCTTATCAATAGACGTTTAATGAAACTAGCCGGCAGCGATTTAGTGACGTCATGGCCTTTCTTATGTACACAACTTGCAACCTTACCTTAAATACAAGCAAACTGCACATTTTTATCATACTCTGACTGAAAAAGATAACACTTATGTAACTGATTGAGTAGAAACACAAGTTCAGATGTGCTGCTGTTCACCTGTTTCCTAGCAGCTGTATCGCTTTACTTTATTCCATTTCAGTCGAGGGGGTGGGGAGTAGATTGATACACACACACACACACACACACACACACACACACACACACACACACACACACACACACACACACACACACACACACACACACACACACACACACATGTAAACATAGACATGCCAATCAAAGCTAAATTTTACAATTAAATATCTTAATTAATCCTCTCATTTACCACATATTTTTATTAGCATAATACTAGCTGGAAATAACCAACCTAAACTTCTTACTGGAACCCGGAAATGAGCATTTTGTCATGCCCAGGGTCAGTTCTGTGAAGTTGTGTAATCGGTGTATTTTTAATTTAAAATACACCGGGAAAAATGTCCTCCACAAAAATTCAACTGTAGAATTTTGTCTTCCAAAGTTAAACACCAGAATTTCAACGTAAAAATAATCATCGTTCGACCGAGTTAAGTGGATTTTAGCCAACGAAATTCCGCCTCTCTGATCATGTTGACTCAGTCAAATGACGATTGATTTGACTTGGGTCACCAGGAGGTCACCTCATTAGTTGTTGAATTTCTGAAATTGAATTATTGCTGTTGAAATTCTGCAGGTATATTTTAGGGGAAAAAAACTCAAATACATTATTTCACGGAATAAAAATTCTGTGTCACAAATAAAGCCATATTGTGGTGAGTGTATTTCTTCCACATTTGTTTGAATTTATTTAGTTTAGATTTAATTATCTTTTTCTAATAGCCATTTTTCCTACACTTTCCACTCGTTTCTAGCTTTCAGTGCATTGAAGTTTCTCTGTACCCTCTTGTTGATTACCTCCAGGTCTTCACTCACCTGTCTTGTACTTGTTAATCATCTCAGATGCTCTCACTCACTAATCAGCCATCCCTCTATATATACTCCCTGGTTTCTTTAGGTGTATCTTCTGACTCTTATGTTCCCTTCTTGTTGTGCTCAGTAACTCCTGCCAGCTAGGTATATTTGTGTTCATTTTGCTGAATTAAAAGAAAAATATTTAAAGTTTTTGAGTTTGCATTTTTAGTCAGAAAAAGCTACTAAAACATTTCACTTCTTTGATATTTTATGATATGGACTTGTCATATCCCCAACATTCAACAGAAATGCTAAAGTAAAAAAAACATCATCAGAGTTGTATTTCTCCCTAACATCTCGACATCTCATACCTGCCCACTCAGTAAGCAGCCCTCCTCTGCTGTGATGTGCTCCTCTTTAACACCTTGGCTCAGCTCTCTGAATAATGCAGAAAGGACCAATGCTTGCTGATTCAGCACGGAGGACAGGTCAGTGGAGACACTACTTTTGAACGGTTTTGGCAGCCTCAACACATGACTGCAGAGGCCAGGCCACTCACACAAGCAGCTACGTGGATACTTTTCACACAAGCACTGTTACCTGAATGCGCATCAATGCAAACTACAGGAAGTCTCAACAATTCGGTTCTGAAAGGGAGGCCAATGCGGAAATGAAATAAATTGCAGTTCCACCCTCATCCACTGGGGGCTGATGTCAGAAGCGAGCAAATCCTCATTGACTCCCATGTTAAAAATACCAATTTCACAGCAGATATAAACATGTTTACAGCCTGGTTCCAAAACATGTTTTAGGTTTAAATGATCTAGTTTATACTCATGACAACTCTGCGGGGGGGGGGGGGGGGATTTTTTTGTCACTCTTCTGTTTAAGTGTATTAAAAGCCTAAAATTGTGTATAATTAATGAGCATCAGACCCACGTGACCACAGAGCTAGCTCCATGGAAAGGCCTCAGTCTGAGCCTCTGCCTCACCTGAAAACTGTTCTGCGATTTTTAGTCTCTCAACTTAGACCATTAGTTGTAGCGTTTGTGTATTCTTTTTTGGATATTATTTGTGCAATTGTTGGACAAAATGACTTGCTGAGGCATTAATTGCACTAATAGAGCATCCAAGAAGTCTCCACTTCATTTTTTTCGGTAAGTAAAATTATATTTATGTATTTTAGGTCACTGCCGCTCTTGCATTAGCTGAGCTTAGATTTTAACATGTACTGTTTAACCATTAAATTTAAATGTAATAGGGTAAAACCCAGTGCATTTAGCATAACGCTGCATTTTAGAAAATAGGTTGAAATATAGCATGTTGGTGGAGCTGGGTTCCGACTATCGGTATGGTCCCCTTCCCGCAGCTGTCTGCTGCGCGGGCTGCCGGCTTGTGGAGCTCTCGAATGGAAACCGATGTTTTCCACCCGGTTTTTCCCAGCGGCAGCTCTGCGCATCTCAGATCGCAGCGGCGCTTGTCTGCTGCGCGGCTGCTGGCTTGTGGAGCTCTCGGGAGACCTCTGTGTTCCACCCGGTTTTAACCAGCGGTCAGCCCGGCGTATCTGTGACTCAGAAGCTCAGGTGTTGTGCAGAGTTAACTCCGGTTGTAGCTAGGTTGCTACCTCTGTTAGCTTAGCTCCCACCCCCGCATTAGCTTTGGGTTAGCTTCAGGTTAGCTTCAGTTCGATGGGTGTCGTCAGTTGATCCCAGCCTTACAGCCCCACCCTCAGCTCCACCTCTCTTCCCTTTTGTGGAATTGCCTGGGGTTGACGGAACCTGTGACACGGTCAAAATTAGCTTTGGGTTAGCTTCAGGTTAGCTTGTAGCTACATTAGCTTCAGTTCGACGGGTGTCGTCAGTTGATCCCAGCCTTACAGCCCCACCCTCAGCTCCACCTCTTTTCCCTTTTGTGGAATTGCCTGGGCTTGACGGAACCTGTGACACGGTCAAAATGGCGGTAGGGGCCACCTCCCATTTTTCCTCAAAAACGTGTTATTGGACCTATGGAAACCCGTTTTCCATTTATAAATATATATGTCGATGGCACAAATGCATAATAAATGCAGATTAAAGCTTGGTTCTAGGGTCAACCTACTTTCTCCAGCACCAATACATTATAGCACACTAGCTAGCTACAGTTGCACCTAAATAATGGCTGTTAGTTACTTGCTTATTTTGATATATTTTTAGAATAATTTCAAGTCTGTTTTTCAAAGGAAATATTTGTAAAAATTATTCTGATTGGGTGTTTTTCCATTGATTTTCATGGCACTTATTTAGTATATAAGTTATGCAGAACTTTAGTTATTTTGCATTAACAACAGAAGGAAGCCAAACACTACAGAAAAATCTAGAGTGGACAAAAAAGAGACACAGATTGACATTAAAAAGATGCAAGAAAAGTGATAAAAAGAAGGATGAAGCAAAGCAGAGAGAGATCGATGTAATGGAAATCAATCAGTGCAAGGATGGGGTAAAGGAGACAGCAGGCAGATGAGAGAAAACAGCTGAAGTTGTAACAACAAAGTGAACAAAGAGAATGATGGAGGAGTGGGACAGAATAAGGATGAGGAATGAGAGGTTCTTGTCCCTATGCAACCTCCTACACTTGTGATGGAGAACCTTTACTGAGACATCAGTATCTTCCCAGTGTGAGTGCATGGATCTCTGCAGGATGAGCAGCGCGATAAAGAGTGACTGGCATGTAAACATTCACTGTTCACTCAGGATGATAACTTTCTGTTCATAAAACAAATGTTCTGTTTGTGTGTTTAAGGCTTAAAGTCAGAATGATGTTACACTCCAGGATATTCCTCAGATATTCCAAACAGCTGCCATTCAGTCTGGCTAATGACACACACACACACACACACACACACACACACACACACACACACACACACACACACACACACACACACACACACACACACACACACACACACACACACACACACACACACACACACTTTGCATATGTAAAATCTCCTGAGCTTGCCTTGCCAGCATTAACGGTTAATGAAATTGTGTGTGTGTGTGTGTGTGTGTGTGTGTGTGTGTGTGTGTGTGTGTGTGTGTGTGTGTGTGTGTGTGTGTGTGTGTGTGTGTTTGTGTGTCTTGTTAGAGAAGCAGTTGGACCCTGCTGACAGCTTCTGCAGTCTGAACAGCACACACACACACACACACACACACACACACACACACACACACACACACACACACACACACACACACACACACACACACACACACACACACACACACACACACTAGTATATTTTACAGTGCCCAGCTTCTTGTAAATCTAAATATTTTTTGAGGGCATCTGATGTCATATTGATGAAGCTCTAGAACCGACGAGACAGGTCTTCCCTGCAAATTGGAAGACAATACGTTTGAAACAGGTAGTGTATTGATTCTACCTCAATATTATCTGTAGGGGTAGGAAAAGGAGACCAGTTATGTTGCAAAAAGCTCTAGATCAATAAAAATGACTTGTTCACTCTCATTCTCTGTCATTTTATGGTGAGTTTGGTTTATTTCTGCAGGTTTTTTCACAGCTGAGTATTTGAGGTTCTGATAGCTAGCTGACTCTTGAAAGATGCACTTTAAAACCAAAGTAAGAAAAACAAACAAGGGACTAGCAGAAAAGAGCATGCAAATAAAACCCAACAGTTAAATAATAAAGGTCAATCTGTAAATACATGACAAAAAAATAACTATTTCATAGATTTTTGTTAGGGCTGCACAATATTAGAAAAACCTGCGATATGCGATAACAGTGATTAATATTGCGATAACGATATTACTTGTGATAAAGGAAAACTTAACTCATGAACAAAAATAATCAAAAACAAAGAAATAAAAAATAACAAAAAATTCATAAAAATGAGAAAAGCAAAAGATGTGAGGAAAGGGAAAAAGAAAATGAACAAGAAAAGGCAATCAGTGGATCATAAGAAAAGCAGAATCAGCAGAAAGAGCAGAACTAAGCTAACTCAGGTGTTTGCTAGCCATCAAAATTAAGTGCCGTCCGTCTCAAGGGCGACCATCTAACCTAAGAGAACCCACCCAATTGGCCAAATGGGTGAAGAGCTCTATTTGATTTGTTAAAAGAACATCATGCTTCCGTTTGATTGACAGAATGCAATATGTGTAGCAAACATGTGAGCTGACCGTTCACTGCAATATTTATCTGCTCTTTGCGATATACATATTGTGCATGCTGATATTGTGATAACGATATATTTGCGATATATTGTGCAGCCCTAATTTCTGTAGATCTTTGCTACGTTTGTTTTACGTTTGTGTTTTTTGTGGTCCTTCATTATACACAGAATAAGAGGAACTTAGCTAACATGTTTGTCAGCGCTATTGCTGATGTTGGTGGCATTACTTCCATTTATCTGAGGGCAGCAGAGGACGATGTCGCCCTCTACCCGCACCTCCTTTGTTGATCACTGTGTCCCTTGAGTGGTCCAGTGTGTACACTCCATCCCTGTTCATGGGCCTAGATCCACGTCTCCTTATCTCAATCGCATCCTTGATCCATCTTTTCAATTTCAAAAAATGGATCAAGGCGTGGATCCAGGACCACTCATGGGACCGCAGGCAGTAGACGTTGAAACATGTTAGGTGAGGTAAACACTAGCTCCTCTCTACTGTATATTGATGAACCACAAAAATGAATTTTAGTAGATCTTTTATTTTACTCATGCTTAGTGTCACTGCTCTTATCCGTCTTCACTTATGTCTATGAACAAATCAGTCCTTAACACAACTCACTGACTTTATAATTCTTTCTGTTTGGTTTAAAACTTATTTTTGCATTCTTCTTCCAGCTCTTGGAGAGTACAGACGCTTTTTTCCTCCTCTCCTTCCTATCTTATCCCAAGGCTCTTTGTCTGTCTTTGGGTGGACGGTGCTTCTGCATTTTTCTGTAAACTGGAAATTATTAAAAATGGACCTGGTCAGTTGGCCTCTCAATGCAATTGACAAGATTTTTTCAACAATGAGAACAGGAGAAGGGGCTCCCGGCTGCCCCTCTGGGACAGAACCAGCTGGGTATATCATGGACTCCTGGAAACAGTGGAACCTGATCTGCCTATCTCAACTGTCTGTAGAGGATTCTGAAGACGTCTGGATATCCGTGGTGTTGGTGTCGGGATTCCTGCTGTTTGGCCTGAGTCAAATCACTGGATCACTGATCACTGGGATGCACTTTGAAGTCCTGGTGAATGAAACTGTTATGAAATCTCATGTGAGGGATGACTTCTTTGTGTCTGAAATATGCTTTCAGCAGTTTGAAAGACGAAACACTGGGGTGTGTGTGTGTGTGTGTGTGTTTGTGTGTGTGTGTGTTTCTGGCTTACCGGAAAATGAATGAGTTTCGAGGAATATTGGCTCAGTCCCGGAGCTCAGGGATGGATTACACCGCGCTGTGAACGCACAAACTCATATAATTGTCGAGATGAGTTGTAAGCTTG